AAAAAAAAAAAAAAAAGGCAAGCCATAAAGTGACAGAAGCTGGGCCACGATAAGCTAGTTGTTGATATTTTTCAGAGATGGAGAATTTTCATGCCAGTTTATTCAAGAATTTCTTGTTCCAATTTCAAGTGTGAATGAAATGGCCATCTCCAAATAGAAATCATGAGAACAATACACTTCAAAAGTCTGAGAGGACAAAAACATTCACTTCCATGCACTGATACTTACTGTAAGAAGAATCACATGCAAAACTATCACAACATCTAGGAAATGTTCAGCTAAACATCTTAATGCTATTTTAAAAATTTATTTATTTAGACACACAAATGGATTTTAATTTCCACTAAGCTTGACTAAGACTCGCAAGTACAGCTTAAAATGCTACGTTAATTGTAAGTTAGAAGTTGGCTTTAAATGTGTAAGAGTATTAACTTCAACATATGAATGGCTGGCAGCCAGCAAGGGTCTGTGAACAGTCCAAACCAAATGGTTCAGAAGTTTAGGTTCCTTATCCTAACCCCCTGCTCTCTGAGTAAGGGTTTGCAAGCCAATCAATCCCCGTATGGGACTGCTAAGGTGCTCCAGCTGTTGGCTGCACCTTTAGTTTCAGAACAGCATCACTGTGATGGCTGATAAGCTCTGAGTGGAGAAGCAGCATCCTTTGAAGTAAAAGCTTCAAACCACTGCAAGTCTTTAATTCAGTAACCTACTGCATGTTACACAAGTTGTGAACTACCCAGCTACAAACTGCTTCTACTGTATGGATGCAAGTGAATGAATTCAATCCTGGCTCTGGAATATCAGTTTTGCTGGTAGGAAGTTCAGCAGGAAAGAACAGAGTTAGAAGTTTGGTCTCCCCTGCTTCCCCCCTGCAAAGCCCTACCTGTAGAAGAACAGGGTAGTTTCATAGTAGCTAGGGTCAAGGGACCTGAACAGACCATCTACCCTGACCCCCTGCCACAGGCAGGAATGAATGCTGGGTTCACAAGACCCCAGACACATGATCATCTAACCTCTTTTTGAATTTCCAAGGTAGGGGTGAGGACCACTTCCCTGGGAAGTTGGTTCCAGATTCTAGCCTCCTTAACTGTAAAATATTGCCTCCTGATCTCTAACCTAAACCTGTTCTCCATCAGCTTATTACCACTGTTCCTTGTCACCCCAGGTGGTGCTGGGGAGAAAAGGGCTCTACCTATTTGCTGATGATCTCCTGTGATGAGTTTGTAGGCAGCCACCAGGTCCCCCATCAGCCTCCTCTTGCTGAGGCTGACCAGGTTCAAGTCCCTCAGTCTCTCCCCATAGGGCCCATCCTGCTGCCCTCTCACCAAGTGGGTGTCCCTCCTCTGAACTCTAAAAAGGATGTGGCCAGCCTGGAGAAAGTGCGGCACCCACTACTGGACACAGTACTCCAATTGTGGCCTGACCAGTGTTGCATAGAGGGGAGTATCACTCCTCTGGACTGGCTTGTGATGCATCTTTGGATGCATGACAAGGTGTGGCTGACCTTGCTGGCTGCGGTCTGGCATTGGTTTATCTTAGAGTCAATAATGACTCCAAGATCCCTTTCCACCTCTGTGCTTTTAAGAGGGGAACTCCCCAGCCTGTATATATGTTGTGGATTCCTTCTCCCAAGGTGCAGCACCCTGCATTTATCTACGTTGAATCCCATCTATTCTCATCTGCCCACTTTTGTAGTCTGTCTAAAGCTAGTTGCAGCCTCTCTCCCTTCAAGTGCGCCTACCTCACCCCCCATCTTAATGTCATCAGCAAACTTGGACAATGTGCTTTCAACCCCCTTGTCCAAGTTGCTGATGAAGATGTTAAACAGTGCAGGCCCAAGGACTGAGCCCTGGGGGACCCCACTGCTCACATCTCACCAGGTTGAGTACGACCTATCCACCACTACTCTCTGGGTGTGCCCCATCAGCCAGTTTTTTACCCATCCAACTGTGTAGGCATCAATGCCAGTTGCTTAATTTATTGAGAATGGGGTGAAACAGTGTCAAAGGCCTTCTTAAAGTCTAGAAAGACTGTCCATAGCAACACCGTCATCCAAGGATTTAGTTACCTGATCATAAAAGGCAATCAGGTTGGTCAGGCAGGACCTGCCTTGATGTACCCATGCTGGTTGCCCCTAAGCATGATCTCCCCTGCTGGTCCCCCACAGATGTGCTCCTTGATGATTTTCTTCAAGATCTTCCCAAGCACCAAGGAGAGGCTTACAAGCCTATAGTTACTTGGGTCCTCCCTCCTCCTTTTCTTAAAAAATGGGGACCACATTAGCTAGTTTCCAATCCCCTGGCACCTGGCCAGATGACCACAAATGTTCATACAGCCAGGCCAAGGGCTCCACAATGACCTCTGCCAGCTCTCTCAACACCCTTGGGTGGAGGGTATCTGGACCTACAGCTTTAAAAGTGTCCAGCCCTTCCAGAAGATCCCTAACCACCTCTGTGCTGACCCAAGGCCTGTCAGAGCTATCCCTGAGATTGTCCCTACCTCTGGCAGGAGGGATGTCCTGGTCCCTGTTCAAGAAAACAGAGAGGTAAAGAAACC